AATTATGTATCCAATAAATAATTTTTCCAGATTTGCATCCGTATTTGAAATTCGAACATTTAGAGCTAAAAATGGTTGTTGGAGATGCAATAAAAAAAAGCATATCATTTCCGAAATTATCTCAACTTTCATGTACATTTTCGTTTTCCTTTGACATCGTAAATCTTAACAAAGCACATGGTTTGTAAAAGTTTGTTAATGGTAAAAGAAAGTTATAAAGTATGTTACTTTTCTTAACACGCGTTGATAGTGTTATTCTTACAACACTTTTTTTTTTCAATATAAGCGAGTATAAGTTTTGTATCATACGTTTATAAATAGTACTAGTATAATCGAGTAAATGTAGTAAAGAATGTCAAATTTTGTTCAGAAGAAAATAAAGCTCGGGTCATGGTTGGTTTAGATCTATACGAGCCTGCACCTGTCTTTCTCTATTCCCCATACCAATAAAAAGCTTGTATTGTTGTAACTCCGATCTCACCAACTCAAATAAATATGTAATCATGTTTTCTACAATTTATGACTTGATGTCTAAGTGTCGCCTAGTGTTATCTTTCAACCTCCTCTGGTTACATTAAAAAAAAAACTTTATCTGCCTACACAAAAAGGTGCTTTTTTGAAAGAGAAAAAAAAAAGAAACAGAAAAGTTACTTTATATTTGGGCTGGAATAGGCCCAACTTTACTAAGCCCGACTCTTGGGCCCATAGAAATCTGTTCCAAATCAAAAATTCATTATTGTTTGTTGAGACATGAAACAAATAAATCCCCAAATATGGAGAATTGATGATTTAATTCATAACAATAAGTTGTTGAACGTCATTAAAGCACAAATTTGTAGTTGTTGATATTTAACTCAAAATCTAAAACTTGCAACAGTAGTTTGTTTACCCATAATAGAAACTCTTTGAAAACAAGGAATCAGTTCAAAGATCGTTAAGCAATCTCTTTAACATAAAATCTAGAACTTGCAACAATAGTTTGTTTACTATATGTTAAAACATCTTGACAACTAATCAACCTCTAGATCATATGATTTTGTAACTCAAATCACAATACTAATCAAGTTAATCAAATGCTCTTTTAAGGTCGACACAGACACAATAACATACTAAAACTCTTAATCACCTTGTTGTTAGGTCGAAGCTGGAAAGACAAGAGAATATTGATGACTACTCAAGTGCAGAATCGTCTACAGTTTCCAAGTCCCTGAAACATCTTACTATAAGGTAAATTATAGATTTACAAATTCAATGGACAAATTTGATAAAACTTTGAATGAAACATTGTTGCAAAATTGTGTTTGTGAAGCTTTGTATTACATGTTTCTAGTTATGGCTTAAGGATGTAATCGAGGAGTGAAGAAAACAATGTCACTGGAACCTAATCAGAATTGGCCAGTGACTCTACTACTGTAAGAGAGTCTTGATGTAAAAAGTGAATGTCTGTGTCAAGAGAGACAAAGTTTGGTCACTTGTACTTTGGTGACAGTGATTTGACACTGGACAATGTAACGACAAGAGATCAAAAATTTAATTTAAATAAAATAAAGTTTATGAATTTACTTGTTGTTTGTTAGGGCAGGTCATTCGAACCGAAATCGACCGGTTTAACCGGACCAATCCTACAAAATGATCCGTTTTATGTAACCGAAAAGCCAAAACCAAACCGGAATTTAATACGCCTCAAATCACGAGATTTCGAAAATAGAGATTTCTCTCCATCTAAGATGTTCACATCATCACAAAAAAATAAAACTAAATTAATAACTTAATTAACTCACACACTTTTATATTATTATCTCTCAATAAATGATAACAATAATTCACAAACACTTAAAATTTATAAAGATAAAATATTTTAAATAAAACGTGAATATATATTCGATTTGACGAAATTCATTTTGTAACTATTTGTGAAATAGACAAATAGTAAAACAAATTATCCAAAAAAATTCCAATAAAAAAAAATACAATTTAATTGAATAATGAAAAAATTGTAGAATTTTTAAAAAAGACATTTTCCTCTTTTTAGACACACTTAAAAACTAACTATAATTTAATGAGATTTTTAACTACACATTTTAAGATAATCAAAATCAAAAA